TCTGAGGGCCTCAATGTCTCAATGGGTAAAATGAGGTAATACTGATACTCACCTCATGGGATTGTTGAGTGGATTAAGTAAGTCCTTAAAGCAGCATCTGGGCCAAGTGTAGCGGCTCACACCTGTAATCCCAACACTTTGGAAGTCCGAGGTGGGCACATTGCTTGAGCCTAGAAGTTTGAGACAAGCCTGGGCAAGAAAGTGAGACCCCGTCTCTACAAAAAATTAGACAAGCATGGCGGCACAAGCCTGTAGTCCCAGCTACTCAGAGGGCTGAGGTGAGAGGATCACTCGAGCCTGGGAGGTGGAGGTTGCAGTGAGCTGTGATTGTGCCATTGCTCTCCAGCCTGGGCAACAGAGTGAGACTCTGTCTCAAAACAAAACAAAACAACCCCCCACAACAAACAAACAAATACACAAAAACAGTGTCTGGCTCATCAGCGCAATCAGCTGGCCCCCACTACTTAAACTGCCCCGGGAAACAAGGCTCTCACCCACAAAGCTGACATGCGTGTGCCTCCTCATCTGCCAAAGGAGAGGTTTTGGAGCCAGGGCCAATGTCATCATAGTACAATTTCCATCCCCTCTTGGAGCCTCAACTTCCTCACCCGTGCAGTGGCGTTGATTATCATTCTGGCCTGGCAGGGCAGAGGATGAAATAGGCCACTGCAGGGGAGGGAAACTGATAAACTGTTGTGTGTCATATGCAGTGAACAGCTTGGCCTCCTCTTCTCTGCCCTTCTTGTTCTGACCTCCCTTTGGGCCCTTGAGCCATAGCTCTCCTCCCATCTCCAGCCTGCTTCAGGGAGCACGGAGACAGGGCCAACACAGTGGGACCCCTTTGTGTCTGTCGCCTGGCGGCGATGTTAGGTTGCTTGTCCTGGTAGTGAGGGCCTGGTGTAGACAGCACCGTGTGGAGCTGGGGTGCCCAGGGTGATTTCACCACGGCCAGCCTCTTTCTGGTGTGGATTTTTGAAATGAGTGCCAGCCTCTGGCATATGCCAGCTGGACAGTAGGCAGGGTGTGCTGAGGATAAGCCACCAGGGAGGTGATATGCCCTCTGCCTGCTCCAGGAGGGCCCACCTTGGAGGGAGAGTGGCCGGAAAAGAACTTGGGGTCCAGGACCTCACTTGAAGCCAGCTCCCCCCTCCGCTATCTGCCACTGTCACTGGGGCTCCCACAGGCGGGTGAGCCCAGAGCATGAGCCTTTTGTGTGCACACACACTGGTGCATGCTCAAACCTCCATGAACCCGTAGGCACAAATATGGGCAAGAGCCAGAACATACCAGATAAGCTCCTGGAGTCTCACATGCAAACCCACCTGGAGACATGGTCAAGTACAGGCATGCCCACAGAGACACAGCTGGATCCCAGCACATCACATGTAGAAAAGCATGCTCACTAGACATGCACAACTGTGTGCACACATGCAAGGGACATGCGTAGCACCAAGCCACACCACTGCTGGGCCTTTCATTGCTTCAGAGACATGCCACTTTGCCTCCTGTCCCATGTAATCCCCACAACCATCCTGTCACCTCTGTCTTATGAGGGGCTCACAGAAGCCAGTGGACTGTGCAAAGCCATGTCACTCTTGCATAGTCCAGCTGGGTGGGCTCCCAGGCCAGTACTCTTTGCGGCTTCTCAGTAGAAGAGGCCTCCTGGCTCCCCTCCCCTGGTCCCCTGCAGAGGGCGAGCCACCAGGGATGGCTGGAGAAGGGGGTGCCTCTGAGAAGAAACCGCCACTTTCGAAGGATGTTTTAAACATGGATCGTGCCCTGGTTGCCTCCCCCATCACCCCAGACTCTGAGCTATGCAAAGGCAGCTCCTGAATATTCAGGACCCCACAGACACTCTTCTCTGGTTCTTCCTCCACTCCTCATTTTGTGCTGAGTCTTAAGTGAAATTGATCTTTTTTTTCCTAGGAAAAAGAAATCTGTCTTTTGTTCCCCTACTCCCCTAGGGGCCTCTCAGAAGAGGAGGCTCCCCGCCAGTTTGAGGGGCACCCCTCAGAACCAATCGCTGCCTGGCACGGCTCCCCGGGTGAGGGGCTTGGGCGCAGTGCCATGTGAGCAGATGGCCGTGATTGCTGGCAACCCGGAGACCCTGCAGGAGAGTCGCGTATGGGTGTTTACAGCATCCTGGTCCCGCCGCGAGCATCAAAATGGCAGACCAAGTGGTGCCCCGCTCGCCCAGGGTGGGGTAGGGGCAGCATGCATTCCTGAGAAAGGGGAGGGAGGTCCCCTTCTTCTCCCAAGGAGAGTCCTGCCCAGGGCCCAGTGCCCAGTGTGGGGTCACATGTAGGGAAGAGCAAACCCTTGATTCTGGGGTAACACCCTCCCTAGTCCTCCATCTTGCTCCCCTCCTGTCTTCGAGCACTGTTCCTGCAGCTCCCCAAGGTCCCTTGTTCTCTGAACTAGCCCCCAAGAGAGCCCTGCATTCATTCACTAATTCACTTGGAAAATAGATATGAGCACCTACTGTGTGTTCAATGAATGAAGAGCAAGCTAGAGGCTTGCAAAGCCTCTCTCCTTTCCTCCCAAGCCCCCATTGACCTGTATTTAGAATGTGTGTGTTCAGTGGTCAAATGCCTATCACTATTACCAGACTGAACTCTAAGGGCAGGGGCCTGGCACATTGTAGGTGCTCAATAAATATTTGTTGAATGATGTAGGGGACCTTGCCCCAAAGAGATTACAGGCTGGTGGGAATGTGCTCCCTCTCCCTCTCTTCCCTCTCTCTCCCTGTTTCATCCTGTGCTCTATTCTCTGCCCAATTAAACAGAAGCTCCCTAAGGGCAGAAGCCATGGCTGTTGCACCCACCCCCTAGATTGCTGACCACATAGTGGCTGCCTGTTATATAGATCATGAGGCTGATGTGGAAATGAGGTGCCTAAAGGGGCCACAGAACTGCCTGGAATGCTGTTCCCAGAAAAATTGTCAGGAAAGCAAATCTGACCCATTCCTCTCCTGTCCGTAGCTCATGGAAAGGTTCCATTCCTGCTCCTTAGACTGACATTCAAGGCTCCTTCGTTGTCTAGAGCCTCACATCCTTCCTTTTTCCCCTTTCATTCGTTCCAAAGTATGCATTGAACACTGCTGTGTACCAAGTCCTACCCAGGGGCTGAGGACAAGACAATGAATAAAACACACAAAGTTACAGTTCTCAGGGAGCTGACGTTCTATCGGAGCTATTCCGTCGGGGTGGACTGGAGACAAGGGGTGAATAAACGGATGAATGTGTTCTATGCCCGGAGGAAATTAGCGTTTTGGAGAAGGATGAGGCAGGGTAAGCCGGAGGGGGAAATAATGGGTGTGGGCAGGAACAGCTTATAGGACATTTGAGCAGAAATCTGAATGAAATGTGCGGCAAACTATGTGGCCATCCAGGAGAAGAGCATTCTGAGTGGAGGGAATGGCCGGGTGTGGTGGCTCAGGCCTGTTATCCTAGTACTTTGGGAGGCTGAGATGGGAAGATCGCTTGAGGCCGGGAGTTCAAAACCAGCCTGAGCAACAAAGGGAGACTCCTATCTCTATTAAAACAAAACATAGGTGAAGGGAACAGCAAGCGCAAAAGCTCTAAGGTGCAAATGGGCTGGCTTTTCTGGCCCTCAGTCACTGCAACAAGCCAGGGTCATGAATTCCAACACCCATGGCTTCAGGCAATAAGTAGAACTGTGATAACAAAGGCACCCTACACTCAATGCCTGTGAGGGAGGTGATAGGGAGTGGTGGGGACTGTGGGCGACAAGGCAGGTCTGTAGCAGGCAACTGGCTGGTGACATGGGAATGCCAGCCTGGAGTAGCCAGAGCTTCTAATATTTCAAGCCAAGCTACAAACCTCTATCTTTTAAAACGTGAAATCCTCCAACTTTGAAATGTTGACACCTAATTTAAAAAATAATATTAAAAAACCTCTGCTATGGCTAGACAAAACTCAATGGCAGATCGGAGCCAGCCTGTGAAGAGTTCATGGCTTTTGGTATCAGCTCTGAGGTCCCTGCAGGGCATGATTCTGAACTGTTGGTTCCATTCCCAGGGGACAGCCAGAGGGGGGCATGAAGTCTTCAGTGGTGGGAATTTGGGCAGAGCTGAGGGATCTGAAATCTAGTTCTAACTTTAGAGCCTCAGGGGCCTTGAGGGCTGGTCCAAACTCCTCTCTCGCAGGAGCCTCCTCTCCCAGGCCTGTCCCAGTGAGAGCGAAGGCTGATACAGAGGGTGCGGAAGCTGTGCCCCACTCCCAGGGCAGCACCAGTGCTTCTTTTTTTTGGCAGGATCCAGCAGGCAGCTGGATGCAGCCCTGTCTGAGGGTCTGAGGATGGAGAGCCTTCTACTCCAGCCTTTTTGAGGACCCCAGTGCTGAGGGGACTACCAGGGTCCCCCCACATCACAGCCCCACCTGCTCTTGGCAAACTCAGGCAGACAAGGCCGGAATTGCCCTCATGGCCCCCCTGCCCTGCAGACCAACTCTCTAAGCAGCTTCATCAGGAATGATTTTCACGTCTGCCATACACACCCAGGCCCCCAGGCACCCCCAGCCGAAGCCCTCTGCCCGGAGCCCCCCATTAATGCTAATGGAAGTCCCGTGGCTCAGACAGGGCGCCCTGCTGGAAAGAGGCCTCGGGACACCCGCCTGCAAACATGACCTTTTCCTGTGTAAGAGACAAGATTTCAAAATCAATTCGACCTGCGAGGCCTGCCCATCCCCGCCACGTGGTGCTGCTCAGGGAAGAGGCCACGTGCCCCATGACAAGCAGGGGTCAATACTGAGTCTAAGGGAGCCCAGCTGCTGGGCCAGGACATCTGGGAGGTTGCTGTCCAGCCCCTCTGCTGGGGTATCTCTGCAAAGGCCACAGGAATATTTCCGGATTGTACTGAATCCTCCCATGCCCGCGTGGAACCAATACGGCAATGGTGGCAAACACTCGTGCATAGAGCCGTGTGTCCAGACCAGCTGCACAAACCCTGAATGCTCACCAGACTGGTGAGTTAGGCACTATTATGTATTTACTTATTTATTGAGACAGTCTCGCTCTTGTCTCCCAGACTGAAGTGCAATGGCACAATCTCCGCTCACTGCCACTTCCGCCTTCTGGGTTCAAGCAATTCTCCTGCCTTAGCCTCCAGAGTAGCTGGGATTACAGGTGCACTCCACAAAGCCCGGCTAATATTTATATTTTTAGTAGCAACGGGGTTTCACCATGTTGGCTAGGCTGGTCTCGAACTCTTGACCTCAGGTGATCTGCCCACCTTGGCCTCCCAAAGTGCTGAGATTACAGGCGTGAGCCACTGTGTCCAGCCAACACTGTTATTATCCCTATATCACATGTGGGGAAACTGAGGACAGAGAGGTTTGAGCTACGTGCTCAAGTCATACAGCAAGTAGTAACCATACAGGGATTTGAACCGAGGAAGCCTAATATCTGTGATGCTGCTTAATTTTCTCCTGTGCACTTAAAAAACACGGTGGCTTGCACGGTGGCTCACGCCTGTAATCCCAGCACTTTGGGAGGCTGAGGCGGGCGGATCATGAGATCAGGAGATTGAGACCATCCTGGCTGACACGGTGAAACCCTGTCTCTAAAAATACAAAAAATTAGCTGGGCGTGGTGGTGCACGCCTGTAGTCCCAGCTACTCGGAAGCTGAGACAGAAGAATGGCGTGAACCCGGGAGGCGGAGCTTGCAGTGAGCCGAGATCGGGCCACTGCACTCCAGCCTGGGTAACAAAGCAAGACTCTGTCTCAAAAACAAACAAACAAACAAACAAAACACTTGCAGGCACTTGCTCTGTGCCAAGCCTGTGTTGGAGGCACAGAGGTGAGTCATATACAGTTCCTCCACACCAGAGCCACTGTCCCCAGGTAAGGGGATGCCACAGGTCAGTGTGAGGTATGATGAAGGCCTGGAGAGAGGGAGGGTTAGATCTAGCATGCAGAGTGAGGGAGTGTAGTCAGGGAGGACTTCCTGGAGAAGGGGATCTATGAATAGAGCAGAAGGTGCCCAAAAGCACCTGAGTATGCCTTTGGGGGCAGGTGCTTGGGTGCACACAGCCATGTCCTGTGTCTGTGCACACATGTGCAGGCCTGGGTGTTGGCCCTGGGGGTATAAGGTTGCCAGGTGCTGACCCCAGGGACCCAGCTCAGGCTATGAAGGCAGCAACAGCAGTAGGGAAGGGACTCTGCTTCCTCTGAAGAGTTGGGCTGCCAGGCTCTTAGGGTACATGAAGGATGCAGATGGAGCTGGAGCTGTGACCTGGGGCCTGGATGTCCCCATGCTGCACATGCAGGCAGTACTCTGGCAGGCCTCTCGCTAGACTTGGAGGGAGACAGGATTCAGGAACCACGCCTGGGAGGCCCTGAGTGGGACAGGCCTTCAGATGGACATGGCCCTCAGATGGCCTCTTGTTGGCTGTAGAAGTGGTGCTTAGTTTTTGCAGTTTGAATGTCTTTAGGTGCAAAAAGCCCTCTCTGTTTGCCCATAGTCCCCACACATCCCTCTTGGTCAACACCTGTGCCCATCCCCATTTCCATCACCTGCCTGGCCTCTGAAGGCATTTGTTTTTGAGCACCCGGCTTTAGCAATTTCAAGTTCTTCACGGAAGAAAAACAAACAAACCTTGTCAATGGCCTCTCTTAGGAAAATTCCTGTGTGCAGTAGGCTAATAACGTCTCTATTTCTTTACCTTACCAAACAGCCACCTTTCTGCCAGGGTGAGGCTCATTCATTCATTCAACAAATGTGTACAGAGCACCTCATCCTTGTCAGACCTTGTTCCAGGTGCTGGCATGGATCAATGAACCAAGCAATCAAAAGCCCTGTCTTCTTGGTTCTTCCATTCATGTGGTCCGGGATAGTGAGAGGAAGTTATAAAGAGCATGGGGACTGGGTCCTATATGGTCAGTTCCTGGGGCCAACTGGCTCCCAGGAACCTGACTACAAGTTCAGTCTTTGCCTCGTGTCCTTCCCCCACCAGCTCAGCCTAAGGCCCAAGTTCATGGGTCCAGTGGGATTCAAAGGAGGAAACAGCCAGCAAGTCCCTCCTCAAGCAGCAGCTTGGTCCATCAGGCACCCTGGTGCCAGCAGGGTGCATCATCAGCTCCTGGAAGGTTAATGCCAGCCCAGGTGCTAGGCTCTAGGACTGGGAGGGGGGAATGAGTCGAGTAGCTTAGAATAGCCATCCCATAGCCAGAGAAAAGGGCACCATTATTATCCTTACTCTACAGTTAGAGGAACTGAGGCTCAGGCAGGCAAAGTCACACAGCTAGGGAAGGATAGGTAGGGACCCAGCTGTGCCTGACCCCAAAGCCAGGAGTCAGGTCCAGACTCTCAAGGGAGTGGTTTCCTATTGTTCAGCAAGAGACTTCACCTTCTTCCTCCTTTCTCCATTCCTGCCTGATCTTCGGGCCCTCCTCTGTAAAGCAGATGCTGCTGTTTGTCCATAGTGAAGCTCCCATTCCATGGCTATTGGCACCCCAGACCCAGCATCTTTGTTATGCTGATGGGTGGTCCTATGTGAGGGGAGCTGGTTTCTTAATCCTAGGATGCCCCATCTTCAAAGGGTTGTGCCAGACGCTGACCCAAAGCTGGGTGCAATCCTATGTGCTCAATAACAGTTTGCAGATAACTTTTGTGGACTAATTTACTTGACCAGAAGCCAGCATTTGAGAGGAGCCTGGCATAGTGAGCAAATCTCTGAAATCAGCTACGTGTAGCCTCACCACTTAACGGTGATGGGACCTTGGACCTGTGAGCCCATTCTTTATCCATAAAATGGGGGTGCTCCTTCCTCCCCTGCAGATGGCTGCGAGGATGCATCCAGTAGGAGCCCCATAAGCGCCTGTGTAGGGCTTCTTCTCACAGAGACCTGCCATTAGCATGAGTAGCCAAGAGGGTGAGAAGTCAAGAAGGCCTGACATAGGAGAAGGATCCATTCGTGAAACTCGATCCTGAACAGGAAGCTGAGAACAGGGCCTTGAAACAGCCCTGTGGACCAAACGGACCCTCTTTGCTTGGCTCGGGTAGAGAGGGTGATTTGTTTTGAGATCCTATCTTATTGGACAAGTCAGTCATACGCCTGCCCTAAACAGCCATGGCCATGCGGATGTGAAGTGCTGACTGGCACGGTCATGTGTTCCTCCTGGTGCAGCCCAGATCCCATTGTCTGAAATGGGGACGGGGGACCCCCAGCCAACTATGGGGGACTACTGTCTCTCGGCAGAGAGGCACCGTGACAACCAACCAAAGTGAGCTAATCAGGCCTCTGCTCTGATTTATTTGGAGTCATCCTTCCTCCTCTTGCAACTCATATTCATCCTTAAAAACTCAGCTTAAACACTGCTGCTGGAAGCGTCCTTGTGCAACTTCATCCTTCTCTGAGACTCTGTGGTGCGGGCAGCCTCTGCCACATAATGTATCAAGCTCCAGATCGTCACTGCTCCAGCATCACTGAAATCTCGCCTATGGTTTGCCAAGTGTGGGCACGTTATCCTCATAACAACCGAGAAAGGGGAAAGCCCTCTGACAGCCTGGGCTGGCCTGGCCCTCACAGCCAGGCCACAGTGTTCTGTTGGACATGAACAGTTCTACAGCCCAGAAACATCAGACAAGACTGCTCGGTAACCATGAAGGATCAAACAAAGATGAGACCACTCTGTAGTCCTGCCTGAATGCAGACGAAAACATGAACATTGTCCAAATGACAAAAGTGCCCAAACATTCCCCCTCCTGGCGCAAATGTTTCTTAACTAATTACAGCTGTAGCTTTGCTCTATTCCTCCTGCCATCTAGAAAAGAATCATGCACATACCCAGATCACAGAATTACCCTTGCTTCCTGACAGCATCCAGCCCAGAGAAACAGCCTGCAAAATCACTTAACGCAAGCCCCAATCCCATGATCTGTGCTGCTAACATCCCCTCCCCAAGACATCCAGTGGAGCGCATTCCCCTCCAGTGCAATGAGTCAATAAAGCCAACTTTGTTCAACTGAAAGGTACGTTCCTGGTAGCCTTTGGCTGGAGGGCATTGCACAATCCTGCAAAAGAGATATTATTTTTCTTGTGTCACGGGTAAGGGAACTGAGGTTCAGAGATGTTAGGAAGTTGCCTAAGGTCACACAGCAGGGAGGTGGGGAAGCTAGAGTTCTCAGAGCTCTTCCCGTGAAAGCTTGTTCACATTTGTCCTTTCTTGTTTTACTTTACTATGTGTGTGCGTGTATGTGCGTGTGTGTGTGGGTGTGCGTGTGTACGCGCGTGTGCGTGTGTACATGTGCATGTGCGTGTGTGTGTATTGTGTAGTCATCAGTGCTGTTTGGGATGCAAATGACAGAACTCAAACCAGCTCAAGCAAAAACAGACTTTGGCTCAAAGGCCCTGTGGTGACTGGTGGAGGTTAAAAGCAGGACTCTGTTGATCTCAAGAACAGGAGCTAGGCGCCCAGACCCTGTTGGAAGTCTCTCTATCTCCTGCCCTTACTCCTTTCTCTCTGATGATCAGGCTTTTCTACTTCTTGGTTGATGCAGCAGAAAATACCCGCTGCCAACAACCCGCAGTTCAGCTCCCAACCTCTCAACACCGATTGGAGTGAAGAACTCCGATTGTCCTCCCTGGGGTGCTGCACACCCCTGAACTATCCCCGGAGGTTGGGAGGTGGGGCCCCTGGCCGATGTGGGCTCTTGCAGTAATTGCACGTAAGAGCTGGGGACTCCCTGAAGGGGGAGAGGAGTTTCTCGGCTGCCGTGTGCACGGCCGCCTGCAGCAGGACCCTCGTGCTGCTGTCTGGCGCCTCTGCTCCTTGTAGGTGGATCCCAGCTCTCCCCACCTCACACAGCCGGGCGCAGGGAAGCTCACAGAGGCCGCCGGGGCCCTCACATCCCGGAGCTTTTTTCTTCTAACAACACCCAGGTGTGAGGTGGCCATCATCGTTAAGGGACCAGCCACAGCTCCGCCGGTCGCCACTCCTGGGTCCGGCCCCACCTCCCTGGCACCCCAGGGTCTCTGGGGTCTGGCACTGTCTGGGTCAGTGTCAGAACCCGGGACAGCAGGGCGGGGCCAGACCAGACTCCCAGCCCGCAGCCGAGGGAACCCCGCGCTCAGGCTGCCCCGGGGCTTTTCAGCCCTCTCCGCCTCCCCGCAGTCCGCCCCGCCTGCCACCTCGCAGCCTGATGCCAGTGCCCCTCTCGCCCGCAGCCCTCACCCTCACCGGGCGCTCGTCACAGCGCCACCTACTGGGCCCCGGGGCCTTTCAGCGTTTCCAGAGCTCTTCACCTGTGTCTCAACATCCCCCTCTTTTCTGAACACTCTACGTGCTTCAGCAATGAACTGACAAGTGTGTGCGTGTGTACCCAAGTGTGTCCCTGTGAGTGTCCCTGCCTGTGTCCCTGTGTGGCTCTGTGTGTCCTGCTCTGTGTATTTGCTCTTCCTTTCTTCCCCTTCCCGTTTTAGGCGTTTCTCCACCCTTCTTGCTCCACCCCAGGATCTTTGCTTCTATGCCAGGTGAATGGGGTGGGAGTGCGGGGTCCCAAGCATTGAAAGGAGGGGATCTTGTTTTGCATTGTACATCTCTTTCCATCTTCCAAGCATTACCCCTCTGTCGCCTTGAAACAGCCCTGTGGACCAAACGGGGCAGGTGAACCCTCTTTGCTTGGCACAGGTGGAGAGGGTGATTTGTTTTGTGCCACTCAGGGCAAATTCAACACCCCAAAATAGACAGGTCTGAAAGAGAACTCAGGGATCCTTTTACCCAGCCCCTCATTTCTTTGTATTAAATGGATCTACTGTATGGCTCAACCCTATTATCATGGTCCCTGCAAAGTCTGATTATTAGAATTATTGTGTAGGTGGAACCATATGAAATTGCCTATATTTGACTGTTTTTTATCCACAAGAAATCAATTTCACATGGTTCAATAGAATGCTAATTTTTAATTATATCACACCTGCCACACCCCATCCAATCCCAGGGCCAGAGTGTTCGCAGGGACTTACCCTACTTATGTGCCGGCCCCCACCCCCACCTTCTAAAGACAGGAAAACCAAGGCACAGGGAGGTCGGGGGTCTTCCAGGCTGCACAGGCAGTGACAGAGGGCTGAGATCCTGTTGGCTTGTCCCCTAGGGTTGAGGCTTCTTGCCTGGAACTTTCCCTTTGACTTCTAAATCTTTTCTTCTTTTTTGAGATGGAGTCTCACTCTGTCACCCAGGCTGGAGTGCAATGGCGCAATCTTGGCTCACTGCAACTTCCACCTCCCGGGTTCAAATGATTCACCTGCCTCAGCCTCCCGAGTAGCTGGGATTATAGGTGCCCACCACCACATTCAGCTGAATTTTCCCCTTTCTAGAACCCATCTGCTCATCTGTTGCAAGCTGCCCTGTTAGCCAGAATTAATACACGTTTCCTTTCGGAAAATACTGCAAGGGCATCTCCACCGCCAGATTCAGAGCATCAAGACTGAACAAACTAGATGTGCTTCCCACCCACAATCTTGTCAGGGCAGATAGAAAGCCAGGTGTGCCATGAAATGCATGCGTTACCCTGGCGACGTCCAGAGAAGAAGGGGAGGGGGCCCCCTCGGGGAGTGTGGCCAGGGAAGGCCTCTCTGAGGGAGTGACATTGCAGCCACCATCTCCCTGCAGGTCCCTTAGCCGCCCTCCCTTGCCTTTATGAATCTTGTACTTTTGAGCCATCCTGACCTCTTGGCCTTTCCTCAGACTTGGGTCCAGAGGTTTTAATCACGAGGTTAACAACTCTCTTGTAACTGGAGCATTGAAATCCCTGAATGAAAGCAGCTCATAGGTTTAGTGAGGCCCACACGCTCTGCACTCTCCCCCTACCTTGCCATCCCTCCCTGCTGCCAGTTAATGTACCACTTTTATTTTTTTAAGGGGAGAAATACGATTTTTGACATTTATGTTCCTGGCTTTTGAGGGGTTGGAGCTGTGGGGTGTGTCGTGGGCTGCACTGGTGGCTGTCCTTGGGAGGAGGTCTCCTGCAGGGAGAGCACAAGTCCTGGGGAGAGTGCACTGAGGTGAGACCCCCTCTGGAGGCCTTTGGTTGTTGCTTGCAGTGGGCAGGTGTCCGTCAGAGTGGAAAGAGCGGCGGCTGATCTGGTGCCTCCCTTGCTTCCTGGCAGGCACAGGGGAGGGCTGGAGAGGATCCTACTGGAAAGACAGAGAAGAGAAGGAGAAAGGGCGGCCAAAGACCATGGGGGTGAGGGCCCATGTTCACGAGGCCTGGCCAGTACTGAGCCACATCCAGGGAGGCACACGGCGACCCCATTTCACAGATGAGGAAACTGAGGCTCAGAGACTGAGCTAAGGGGCACTCAGCTGGTTTTCCACCCAGGCAGTCTGGCCCCAGAGCCTATGCTCCTGGATGCAATGCCTTCTGTTTCCAATCTCACTGGAGCCCAGGACTCACAGTCCAGTGCTCTGTGACCCTGGAGGTAGTGAGTACTGTGCCTGGGTCCCTTGACTGGATGCAGGCACGGAGGGATGGATGGGCACTGAGCGTGAGTGTTTGTTGCTCCCTGGACCTTTGTCCCTGTGAGTGTGTGTATTGTGGGGTGGAGCAGGTGGCTTGGCATTCTGTCTGAATCCTTCCCTCTCTCTGGGTTTCTGGGACTTGCTCTCACTCTTACCTCTCTGTCTTTCTCTCTTCGTTGTTGTGGTCTCCATCTCGTTCCTCTGTCCATGTCTCTTTCTGTCTCAGTTTCCCTTTGTCTCTTTACATCTTGTGCCCTCTCTCTGTCTTCCTCTCGTCTTTGATTCTCTGTCTAGCTCTGCCTCTCTCTCTCTGTCTCTGCTCCGTCTTTGATCTCCCCCAACTGCATCTCCTTTACATCTTCCGCTTTGTCTCCGTTTAGATTCTCTGTCTTGTTGACTGTGTGTCTCTGGCTCCATATTTCCTGGGTTCTTGCTCTCTCTTTCTCAGTTCTTCCCCATTTTTTTTTTTTTTTTGAGACAGGGTCTCACTCTGTCACCCAGGCTGCAGTGCAATGGAGCAGTCGTGGATCACTGTAACCTCTGCCTCCTGAGTTCAAGCAGTTCTCGTGCCTCAGCCTCCCACGTAACTAAGATTACAGGCGTGCGACACCGCGCGCAGCTAATTTTTGTGTTTTTAGTAGAGGCGGGGTTTCACCATGTTGGCCAGGACTGGCCTCAAACTCCTGGCCTCGAGTGATCTGCCCACCCTGGCCTCCCAAAATACTGGGATTAAAGTGTGAGCCACCGTGCCCAGCCCCTGTTTCTAATTTTTTGTCCATCTCTGTCTCTCCGCTTTCCCCCTCCCTCAATTCTCAAAACATGCAGTTTGTGGCCCCTTCCCAGGCTCAGCAAGCCCCGCACATCATGACAGACCAGTCCCGGGTGACCCTCATGTCATCGTCCCACACAGCAGGCAGGGCAAAGGCCTGGTCCCTGCCCAGGCTGGGGAAGCTGAGCCGGGACATGCGAGGTGAGGTGTGCCTTATCCCCCGCCGTCAGGCGGACCTGGATGAGAGCCCCAGCCTCTGTGGTCCGTGTGAGCATGGGCCCATGTCTGTGTGCTTGTGGCTGAGTTTGCCCTGAGGTACCTGCCACACCCCCTAATCCCTGTGGCCCCCACCTCCACCCCACCTGTGTCCTCCAGGTCCTCCCTGATCTGCATCACAGGCTAGGCCCAGAGTGGCCGCTGTTGGCATACAGTGGGCCCTGTGGATTTATCTCTGTGCTGAGATAAAGGGAGGCTTAGCAAACATGTCAGCCATTACAGCCAAAGGTTGTGCAAACCCCTACTGATCCCCCTGGCCCTCTGGGAGGACTGGGCCTCTCTGAGTCCTTAAGCCTTGAGGCCTGGAGGCTGCCATCTGCCCTTCTCCTACCCTACACCCTGACCTCTGCCTTCTGCTGTGTGGCATGGCGAATTTCTTCTTTACAAATGTTATTTAGCAAATCCACACAGGATGCCTGCTCGAAGTTAGAACTGTTCTGGCCACTTGTCTTGCCATCTACACCTTAAGGGTCTGAGGACAAGAAAGGCCCTGCTAAAGCTCCTTCATCATGGCAGATAATGTGACTCTGGCCA